CGACATTTTTATAATTTTTATATTTTTGAAAATAATAAAAATTTAATACTTAACATGACCGAAAAGCCTTTTAAATCACCAAAAATATACTTAACGGTTACTAACTTCAAATAAATTATATAGAAGATTATAATTACAATACTTGCATATCCTATGTACTCTAAATACGTCAAAGACTTTTCTGTCCAACTCTTAAATCTTTCATGTGTCTTTAATTTATCTAGCATCGTTTCGATATCTTCCATACTAATTTTCGCTTCTTTTATTCTATCTAAATTAAGAAATCTTGGTAATTTTGGTAATTTATCATTAATTAATTTTAAATCGTCTTTCTCAAAATCTAATTCTATTGTGATTTTATCCTCAAAGTATCTACTTATATTTTTCATCGGTTTATTAAGATCTAGCTTTATTTCATTCGTATATAGCTTACATCTATTCCCTGTTATTAGATAAGTACCCAATTTTTTACCATTATAATTATTATTTTCGCATACTATATCTATAACTGTTTCTTTTACAAATATACATATATAACCTGTTTCTGTTTTCATAAATGTTTCATCGCTGAGTAGTAATGGAGTTTTTAGACAATTTCTGTTAGACATTTTTATTAAATCCGCGTCACAATTTTCTGTTTGATATATTAAATAATTCGGTTGATTTCTCTTACAAATTTTATAGTCTTCTATATTACTACATTTTTCTAAATCTGTCTTGTCAATCGGTACGTATTCAGTTTTCGTTTGCAAAATATATTCGTGGTTTGGTAAAAACACCATAGCTTGACCATTAATTATTCGTTCTGGAATTGGTAAACTTCTTACTATTGTCATTTATTTTTCATCTAAAATCGGAATTTTAATCATGTATACTAAGTGATGATTTTTTATAATTGTAGTAATTGATAGTTGATGTTAATAGTTTCTTTCATCGCTTTCGATGTGATATTTAGTCCTAAATTCCTTTTCAAATCCATCAATTGTTTCATGCAACATTCTAGGCGTTAAAATTTGGGGGTTTATAATTCCATGCTTCCCTAAATTAATTGAACTTATTGCTAAATCTATGTCGTCAATCATTTCTTCTATTAACGTTTCAGCTATTAATAATTTTTGTTCAATAAACAAACTCTTTTTGTTATTATTTATTTCTGCTTTCATTTGGTTTAGTATATCATAGTCTGCTACAAGTTTATTTTCTAAGAACTTATAATCTTGAGATGATGAATCTAAGATCATTTTTATTACTTTAGTATTGTTTTTAATTGCTTCATTTAAGACCTTCTTATCATTATATAATTGATCGAATTCTTTATTAATTATATTTAAATCTGAATCGCTTAATGTGCCAAATAATATTTTTGATGCGTCTCCTATTACATTTAAAAGTCCTCTTTTAACTCTTTGTTTACCCATTATGTTATATAATAGTGATTCCTTTTTTCTTAAACGACTAAATCTAGAAGAGATAGTTTTAATTTCGTAATTTTCTTGACATTTAGTCATGCAAAGATGACTAACCTGCGTTAACACTTTTTGAATAACAACTATTCTATCTTCGGTTCTTGTAATGTTTATCATAATCATCAATTTCCATTCCTCTGAATATACATACACTTTTCCTATTTCTTCTTTATATATATTGCCTTTTAATTCCGTTATATTATAATCAGTTTACAAATGATAGATTTTCTTAAGGGGACTTTCTGGTTTAGAATTGACAAAAAAGGAAGGTTTTAAAACTTTTATTGTAAGAACAGTATTAAAGAAATTGTAAAAACTATTTTTGGACATTGTAGTACATTGCGTAGAGAAAATTTAAAAAATATGTTTGAGTGTATTTAGTTCAATTTCATAGCTGTAGGTGGCGTCTCCCAAAAGATACCTTTTTTTTGGTACGTTAGTTTCCGGGCAACCTGTAATACATAAATTCAAGTTCCAAACGCGAATCTCTTCATAAGGATTTATTCTGGGGCCTAGACCTCAAAAACGATTTTTTTTAAAGGTTTTTTTATTTTTTATGTACATTTTTCTCAAAAACTCGCAAAAACGCCGTGTTTTTGGGTCAATTTACCTCCATATAAAAACACAGGGGGTAGAAATATGAGTTTTTAGAGGTTTAGGCCCCAGTTTTTTAAATAAAGAATCGAAAAATTTTTGGGATTTCCAAATCGGTTCGGTAGATTTCGAGAAAAGCTCTGTACCAGTTTGAAAAATGAGTTTTCGAGAAAAACGCGTTCAAAGTTTTCATAACATAGTTCATTGAGTCATGAATATCAAACAACTTTTTATTACAACAGAACTTCGTATCCCGCTGTTTTTAGGGTCGCTGATTACGAATTTAATGTCCGTTTTTGAAAATTCAAAATGGCGGATCCAATATGGCGGAAGAAAAAATAAAAAATCAACCGAATTTGCTTAAAACTTGTTACTCGGGGGTTTTTGGGGTCGTTGATTACGAATTTGATGTCAGTTTTTGAAAATACAAAATGGCGGATCTAATATGGCGAACAAAAAAATAAAAATTGAACCGAATTTGCTTAAAACTTGTTACTCGGGGGTTTTTGGGGTCGCTGATTATGAATTTGATGTCAGTTTTTGAAAATTCAAAATGGCGGATCCAATATGGCGGACTACAAAATAAAAAATTAACTTTTTTAATTAATTAAAACGTTCCTAGAACGTTAATGTTTTGTGCCTATATTCATAACTAGCAATCTCAAAAGGCCACAAGTAACCATTTTCAACTAAATTTAATTAATTTCTTAATCTTTGTCCGCCATATTAGATCCGCCATTTTGTATTTTCAAAAACTGACATCAAATTCGTAATCAGCGACCCCAAAAACCCCCGAGTAACAAGTTTTAAGCAAATCCGGTTGAATTTTTATTTTTTCGTCCGCCATATTGGATCCGCCATTTTGTATTTTCAAAAACTGACATCAAATTCGTAATCAGCGACCCCAAAAACCCTCGAGTAACATGTTTCAAGCTAATATCAATAAAAGAGGAACACCAAATATGTAAATAAGATAACTGTAGATTGTTGTTGAAATACATACCGTCATAAATATTGTTATAACTTTTGTTTTTGTACATATTTTTTAAAAAACGTTTTGGGACAGTAATTCTACAATACTATGGAACATTTTTAAGCAAAAAAAAAATCGATTTTTTTGAAATTCTAAACCAGAAAGTCCCCTTAAAAAAGAATGAGGAAAAACAAATAAAAATTGTTCTGTATCAACTGATGTTCAAAGTACATATTTTAGTAAAAGTCGTTTAAAGCCTTGTTTGCATATTTTGTGTACAGAATTAAAATTTAAGTTTTTAAAAAAATGTTTTACCTTTGTAATGTTTATTGTTGATTTTTTCTTGAGACTCTATGATATCTTTTTAAGGAAAAAAATGTTCGATTTTTTAAAAGTTCTAAAGTTGAGCAACTATGATATAAAAATTTATGTTGCTTATTTACTTTTTTCCATTGATTTTCTCTTTAAAAAAATTTAAGGGTTGTAGAAACCACTGATGTAAAGAAATTGTTGAAAGAAAATATTTATTTTATGCGTCTACGCAAGTTTTGAAAAACTCCTCCAGATCACTACAAAAAGTTTTAATTTTTAAAATAGAATTATACAATACATTAAATAGACTGAATTATATAAGAAAATATGCGCATCGATTATCGATCACGCAAAGATACCATATTTCCTTATAAAGAATCTATATCTATTATTATAAACTTTTATAAATAATATTATTCAAACCCTGTATTTAATAAATTTAATTGAGCCCTAAATATTATTCTGTCTCTCCTCTTATCATTTTCGGTCATGACTGTACCAATAAACTGTCTTGCATGCAAAGCAACTAACCTTCTTTCCTCTATAGCTAATGTTTTTTTCAACTGAACTACAATATTAAAAGAAAACTATGTTAATACTTTTAAAAAATAACATAAATTAATTATATTAATTATTAGGAAATATAAAAATTATTCATAATTTTGTTTAATTATTTAATTAAGCTTAATTTTTAATAAGCATGTTAATAGGCAATAAGGATAAATTTTCATAGAAAAATAGAGAAGAATATGTTTATATTGTTTATTATTACAATAAGACTTTAAAAATATAATCATCAGTAGGGTGGCCAACAAACTTTGAAACCTTGAAAACAAGAAAAACGTTGTTAATTTAATTACACATCAAAAAAATCGTGAATTCGCCCTGAATTTTTTATTCAACCTTGCAATTTTTTTTAAAATTCTCATTTTGATTTGTTTCAATTGAAACTTGTTTTTTAATTTTCCCAAATTTTTCGTATACCTTGAAGTAAATCGTTTTTTGGAAAAATGAAAATTTGACTAAGAATTTGTGAAAACATATTTTATAACTGATTGATTAAAAAACACAAATTGTAAAAATTAAAAATTGTGCTAAACAGTACTAGGAATTTTCCAAAATAATTAATAAGTTTTGATCTGAAAGCAGATAAGACCAATTTTTAACCATGAAAATTATTAAATTAAAATGTTGATAATGTAAAAATTGTACTACACGACTTTAATGAGTAACATTTTCCCATAAATTTATTAAAACATTTTTTTTATAATTTGTAATTTTTAAAATTTTTTCCAATATTTGCTTTCGAAATTTTTGGTAAAATTTTGACTTTTTCAAAATATATTACATATTTCACAATAGATTACAAGTAACAATGCAGTACAAGTGTTAATTTTGTTTACAGAAACAAGAGTATTTCTGTTAAAAATTTTGTCCAAATTTAAATTAAAAATTTTTTTTGTAACTTTCAAACGATATTAAACAAATTGATTATCGTTTTAATGCCAGAATTAAAGAATGTATATTTTCCTTAGTGCTACATTTCTGACTAGCACTTAAAATAAGCCTTGTTTTAATATTATAACTATTTAAAATTATATGATATATAAATCTCAATTTCAAAATCCTAGAACTCTTTGTTTAAAACCGAAAAAAAGCCTTGAATTTTGTTCGCAAATTGTAATGGCCACCCTGATCAGTAAGCAAAAAATCTATTAATTCATCTGCCTAATTAACTAACTTAAGTAATTTACTAAAACTATTTGTGAAATTTAAACACCTGTAAAGTTCCATATTTGTGGATGACTTCCTCCTAATTTACTTTGCAGTCTGCTATTTTGTGACTCGCAGAGATTGTTGGTTCGATGAGGTAAATGCCCAACGCACAAAATTGCTTTCCTTCTTCCCCAGTATTGTTTCAAATATTTAATGAATTTTTTTAGTTTCGGGTGATAAACACGATTATATTCATAAATTTTGTTCTTGATTATTTCTAAACCATCATAATAACGTTCAGCCGGCGCTAATGCCAGACAGCATGCGTAATTTAAAATTATATTATCTGCTTCTTTTAATTTTAAAGTTTTCCAACGTTTTTTCATAGCCTTTAAATTAAAATATAATGAGAATATTATAATTTTTAACCTTTATGGGACTGAGAAAAAAAACACCTTCTATGGGCGGACGAGGTACCTGGGTACCTACGTTTAATTTATTGAAGATTTTATATCAAAATGAGCAGTTCCATTAACTTTAAGTGTAGTGAACGTTTCAATGAAAGTAGTAATCACATAATATGAATACACTGCAAAAAGAAGTCTTATTTTAAGACCGAAAACAGGTCTTATTTTAAGAGGCAACATTTTTAAGGCAGCTTTGCTGAATTTACGCAATGCAATTTCCATTAAAACTACTAGCGATCATTTTAAGACTCATCTTAAAATAAGATTTTTTTTGCTAATAAAACATTATCATTATTAGTTGATTATTAAAAAACTGTCCATTACGTTTTATTATAAATATATTTTGTATATATTCACAATTTCATTGATCTTTCATTCAATAGTATCCGTGTATATACTATTTTCTAGATTGCAAAACAGGTACATATTTAGGCAGATTATTTATGAAATCAAATATAAAAATGTAAAAAATTTATTTTTTATTATTTAAAATACATTTTTAATACAAATTAATTCTATTCAAACTTCATTTTTATAGTAATTTTTAAGTTAAAAACTGACGATTTCTTATGAATATTATTATTTAACTATAGTAACTAAATTACATATTTTATAAAAAAAATTATGCGGGTGAAGAAACTTTATTTAATATTTCTGAATAAATAAATAAAAAAGGTACATTATAAATAATATTAAAACACTTTGGATAAATTTGAGATGTCAAAAAACCTTAGGTCGATACGATTTTAAAAATTATGAAAAAAATCAATTTGAAAATGCAAAAGGTACCCGGGTACCTTGTCAGTCCCATAAATGTTAAATAAAAAAATTATCTTTTATTGCTTTACAGAAAAAAAATATTGTGTTGGTCAAATTTTTCTATTGTGAATTTTTTACGCATTTTAATATTATTTGATACCAAGAATCTAAAAATAATCTGTTAAAAATACTTGTTTCTGTAATAATGTTAATATATCCTAAATATTTAGAAACCAAAAGGGCTACAGACTTAAATTTTTTTAAATAGTATGTCTTTTTATGATGGCTCAAGAAATGATCATGGCACAGGGGTGATTAAGAGACTTGATTATGTCTCAAGACTTGTTCATGGTTTGAGTCTTGATCAAACATTGAGCCATGATCAATGTTTGAGCCATAATTCAGAGTTTGAATTAAGCGTTGAGCCATGATAAATAGTCTGAATTAAGTCTTGAGCCATTATCAAGTCTAGAGCTATTATTCAGAGTCTGAATTGAGCCGTGAGCCATTATAAAAAGACTGAATTAAGCCTTGAGACATGATAAAAAGTCTCAATTAAATCTTGAGCCTTGATCAATTCGAGCCATGATTCACAGTCTTGATCAAGCATTGAGCCCTAATTCATAGTCTGGATCAAGCCTTCAGCCTTGCACAAGCCTTGATCCCTAATCAACCACATCTAAGCTTCAAGTCACAGTCAAGCCTTGAGATTATTTTTTTAGGCTCAATGGCTGAAAAATTATTGATTTTCGGGGGTTTCGCCATTAAAATTTTTTGTTCAGGAGATTATAAGTTACAAAACTGCAAAGTATTAAAAAGTGGAACATGACTTGTTTCCCTGTGTATCTTTTGTGGGGTCACTAATTCGAATTTCAGTCATTTTATTTCTTTTAAATTCATCAGTATTTTTTTACAGGGATAAAATTAATGGACTTTGGACCTGCTTATTGTCTCAATCTAACATTTATTTTTATTGTAAATTTTACCTTTTTTGAATGAAACCAACAACCGTGAATTTGACAATTTGGAAATAATTCTTTTATTGCTGTTTGGACAGCGGATTCAAAATCAAGCATGCTGTGTTCTAGGTTATTTTTCAAATTTGGACAAAGTTCTTGAATTTTAATTAAAACTGCTTTATATAACAATTTTGTTCGCCTAGTCATCAAAATGAATACAGCTCCAACACTCTGTGAAGATATGACATACTTTTTTTGAAAAAAGTAACTGATGTTAAGAGAGTTGTAGGTTGGTTATAAGTTGTCAAAATTTTATATAGTCATTATAATTCTGAAATTTTGAAAAATTCATATCTCGAAGTCCCCCCCTCTTCCCGCCAAAAAAGACCAAAATTTTGAGGTTATGTTCGTTTCAAGACTCTGAATTTAGCCGCAAATCCTCCCCCTCCCCTCTCTTCGTATTTCCCGCCAAAAGTGACCTTAATTTTAAGGTTATGTTAGTGTCAAAACTGAATAGGGCCGAAACTCCTCCCCCCTCCCCAGACAAAAATGACCTACATATTGAGATTATGTTTGTTTCAAGACTCTGAATAGAGCCGTAAGTCCTTCCCTCTCCCCTCCTCTCTCTCCCAGAAGTTTCCGCCGAAAACGCCGAAAATGACGTAAATTTTGAGGTTATGTTCGTTTCAAGACTGTGAAAATAGTCGAAAGCCCCCCCCCCTTCCTTACGTTTAAGGGGAGGTTGATTTTTCGTCGAAATTAAACTAAATTTTAAAGTTAAGTTGTTTTGGCGGGAAACGACCAAGAAACAAACATAACCTCAAAATTTAGGCCAAAATTTGGCGCAAAAAGACCAAGAAACAAACATAACCTCAAAATTTAGGTCAAACTTTGAAGGAAAATGACCAAAAAACGAAAATAACCTCAAATGTATGTCAAATTTTAGCAGGAAAATTTAAAAAAATAGATAAATTTTGTTTTAAAAATTGAAAATAATAAAAACTAATATTAATAAAGATCATGAATAACATTTAAAAAAATAAGTAATAAAATATTAATAATAGTTTTAAATTCCAGAAATTTGCCTAACATTAACTCAAAATAGGTCCTAAGGCCATCTACAAAAACAATCAAAAACAGGAAGTTGGCGCGTGAAGTGCGCAGGGAGGCGAGTCCCCCTAGTATATATAAATATATATATATCTATATATCTCGGAAAAGTTTTTAAAAGGAAAATTTCAACTAGAGAGCGTATCTTATGTACTACATTATTTTTATGAATTTAACCAAATGTATGTCTACATACCTTGTCATTTACACGCATCACAATTGTGTAAAGTTGGCAGATTTTTGCAATTTTGGGACAAACCTAACAAACATTCATAATAAAAAATTCGAATTTTAACCATCGGTTGAAGATGGTATGACCTTAAAAAAAGTAGTCAGACCAATCATTAAAAATTATAGTTGATCCAACACCACATTTAAAGTTAGACAAATTAAAATAATTTCCACCTGGGTAGTATTGAGTTTAAATTTCTACCGGGAATATAACAAATTTTAAATAAAAATATTTCCTGTCATATAGAATTATAATTAAAATAAGTAATACGATCAATACCAAAATTAAAAACATAACATTACTTCGAATGTTCCATCCATATAAACTTCAGTTTGTCTATTTAATTCGCTGATAAGTTTATCCGTAGAGAAGAGTAATGCCATTTGTGTTCCATGCTTTACTACACCTTTAAAAATGAGTTTTAACTTTGAATTTTTCAACAAGTAACCTGCTAACTCTTCTAATGTTTTAGGACGGCAGAATCCAGCCTTTCTCCGTTTTCTCAATAATATTTGTTTTACAGATCTCCACTCTAGAGAAACCTTCTTTCCATTGTTTTCGAATCTTAAATAAATTTTTTTAACATTAAATATTAAATTAAAATTTGAACCCTATAGAGACCGAACCTCAAAAAATTGAGATATAACAATTAGCAATAGCAATTTTTTATTCGACATGTCTTTATACATTGGAAGAGTTAAAAGTACATAATTTACATAAATATTTCAACTATTTGATTTTAAAATATCTGTTTTTTAGAAATACTTCATTTTAAAATAATATTTAAATCTTAAATTTTTTATACATATATGTCAACACATAAAAAAATGAAAATATTTATTGACTTTGAATTTCGAGTATTCTTACTATATAAACGTTTTAAAATAAGTATATTTTATCAGAATAAATATATAATTTTATTAAAAATTAATTAAAATAAATATAATTTTATATAAAATAAATAACAAAAGGCACATAATAGTAAGTAAATTAAAATATATATGAGGCATTCTTTGTCAACTGAAGCCCCCCTCTGTCCAAAATTGGTTTAAGTTTAAAATATCGGGCATAGGCCTATTATTTCAATAAAAATAAGTACTTTTTAATTCCGTGTGGCGTTTTTCAAAATTCAAAATGGCGGATCCAATATGGCGACTAACTTTCACAAAATTGATTGAATTTACTTGGAAATTGTTACTCGGGGGTTTTTGGGGTCGCTGATTACGAATCTAGTGTTAGTTTTTAGAAATTCAAAATGGCGGATCCAATATGGCGGATTAAATTTTAAAATTTACTCGGATTCTTCTGAAATTTCTTACTCGGGGGTTTTTGGGGTCCCTGATTACGAATCTGGTGTTAGTTTTTAGAAATTCAAAATGGCGGATCCAATATGGCGGATTAAATTTTAAAATTTACTCAGATTCTTCCGAAATTTGTTACTCGAGTGTTTTTGGAGTCGCTGTGTACGAATGCGGTGTTAGTTTTCATAAAATCAAAATGGCGGATCCAATATGGCGGATTAAAATTTTAAAATTTACTCAGATTCTTCCGAAATTTGTTACTCGAGTGTTTTTGGAGTCGCTGTGTACGAATGCGGTGTTAGTTTTCATAAAATCAAAATTGCGAATCAAAAGACCAAAGACCAATCAAAAAGTGCGCCATACATTTTTTGTTCAGAACTTTCTTCTAATCACTATGGCGGTATTCCCGAAAGATTATCTAGCGAGTTTAATTTTTTGAAAATTTTTCCAAATTATTTTTGAGTGTAGCTCAGCATCCGCTGGACCAATCATTGGTCCATACATTTTTTGTTCGAAACTTTTTCCCTTTTTTATTGGCGGTATTCCGGAACGATTATCTCGCAAATTTAATTTTTCTGAATTTTTTCCAAATTTGTTTTCTATTTTAGCTCAGCATCCGCTGGACCAATCAAAAAGTGCGCCATACATTTTTTGTTTGAAACTTTTTTTTCAGAAAAAATTTAGAAAAATTAAATTTGCGAAATAATCCTTCTGGAATATCACCAAAGTCTAAACTCGGGAGTCTCGAACAAAAAATGTATGGCGCACTTTTTGATTGGTCCAGCGGATGCTGAGCTAAAATAGAAAACAAATTTGGAAAAAATTCAGAAAAATTAAATTTGCGAGATAATCGTTCCGGAATACCGTCAATAAAAAAGGGAAAAAGTTTCGAACAAAAAATGTATGGACCAATGATTGGTCCAGCGGATGCTGAGCTACACTCAAAAATAATTTGGAAAAATTTTCAAAAAATTAAACTCGCTAGTTAATCTTTCGGGAATACCGCCATAGTGATTAGAAGAAAGTTCTGAACAAAAAATGTATGGCGCACTTTTTGATTGGTCTTTGATCTTTTGGTTCGCAATTTTGATTTTATGAAAACTAACACCGCATTCGTATACAGCGACTCCAAAAACACTCGAGTAACAAATTTCGAAAGAATCTGAGTAAATTTTAAAATTTTAATCCGCCATATTGGATCCGCCATTTTGATTTTATGAAAACTAACACCGCATTCGTACACAGCGACTCCAAAAACACTCGAGTAACAAATTTCGGAAGAATCTGAGTAAATTTTAAAATTTAATCCGCCATATTGGATCCGCCATTTTGAATTTCTAAAAACTAACACCAGATTCGTAATCAGCGACCTCAAAAACCCCCGAGTAACAATTTCTAAGTAAATTCAATCAATTTTGTGAAAGTTAGTCGCCATATTGGATCCGCCATTTTGAATTTTGAAAAACGCCACACGGAATTAAAAAGTACTTATTTTTATTAAAATAATAGGCCTATGCCCGATATTTTATACTTAAACCAATTTTGGACAGAGGGGGGCTTCAGTTGACAAAGAATGCCTCATATGTGTGAATATTTAATTGATGGTTATTAATAATTTTTAAGTTAAAGAAAAAAAAATTTGCATTAAGTAATTATATTTACTTAAGTCAATAAATTAAGTTTGAGTTTTGAATAACTCGCTATTTTTGTTTCAATTAAATATTTATTTATTTCAGTGTCAAATAATTTATACTTACAAAAAAAAATGAAGTATTTAATTGAAATAAATAAATTAAGTTTTTTAAGTAACAAATTATTTGTGTTAAATAAATTCATATAGGGTCAGTTGATGTAAATGGGGACAAAATCGCTATTTTTCACAAATTACGTAAGTTTCTTTCTTTAAAAGGTACGGGTTTATTTTTTTTAAGTTATATATTTAAGTCTGTTTTCTTTGAAATGCTCGACAAAATACTGAAACAGTTTGACTTTAATTTTCAAGTTTTCATGCATTGAGCGATAACTTGAATTATCTTGCTGCTAATTGTCGAGATAAAAGCTTGGTAATACTCAAAACCTCTTGCAGGTGATCTGGGGTTAAAATATTGACGTAGAACTTAATTTTAAAACTGTAAATTAAGCTCCAAAACCTCTTGTCCCCCTTTACCCTAACTGACCCTATTAGATTCAATTAAATATTTACTTGACCCAATTACGATATATTTGTTTCAAATATGTTTGATTCAAATAATTTAAGTTATTTAAATCGAATACATACTTTTTAGATCCAACTTAAAAATATTTGTACCAAGTAAATATTTTTCAAATAATTTGAATCAATTGATTCGAATAAATTTTTTTTCCAGTGTACAGTAAAATTGTCGGGGTAGCTTGCTTTAAGCTTGCGTGGCTAGTTTGCCATAGGTGAGACATTTAAAGCTTGTAGTAATCTTGTGATAATCTTGTATCGCAAACATGCAAAACTTAATATAAAGTTTTACTCACTCATGACATACTTCATCATAAATTTCTCTTAAATTTAGTGTCATTATTAAACAACGTTTAATCATTTCTGATTTGGCCGCATTATTATTTTCAACGTTGTCGTCTCGAGAACACAGATGAGGCTTTATCAGTTGGTACTGATTACCAACTTTCTTCAAAGCACCTTTACAACATCCTTTAATCCTGTTTGTACGGTTTACACACCTACAGCAATTTTGAATAATTGAAAAGTTAAATAGAATTATTAGACGTTAATGAAGGAGTGAGAGGAAGAAAGCGGTGCAAGGAATGACTTTTTGGATAGATAAGTGACAAATTTACTGAACATGAAATATTGAACAATGTTTCGACAATTTTTAATCTTCTAACCTTTTCAAAACAACTTTTAATTAATTTTTCAAAAAAATGTGTACAGTGTAAGATAATATATTAACTTTAATCTTAAATAATTAATTTAATTTTAATTAATAGTAATTAAATATTATTAATTAATTTAATTTAATTAATAAATTTAATTGATTTTTATATGAAACGTTTAAGGGTTTTGATTTTTTAATAGAAGTTCAATTAAATAACAATTAAATCAACTTTCTCTAATAGGAATGTAATTTCTGTAAAATTAGAATTTAATTAAAAAGAATAAAAAAGTAGAATTAGAGTAAAGTTTAAAAATTTTGAAAATGATAACCTGTAGGTGACGGTTCGTGTGCATCTATCGTCTCTATCATATTTGTAGCCACCGTGATAGAAAGTTTGCATGGTATTACTACTCAAAAAACAAAGAAAAAATAATTTAACACCAGCAACACATTTTTTTAAAAAAGTGGTACAGAATGATAAAAAATTTACTTTTTACAAAGAACATCAAAACAAAATGTCGACTCGCGTTTTACTGTCGTTATGGCAACACATTCACTGACAATATATTGTCTATTAAAAAATTATATTTATATATTATTTAAATAAATTAATATGTAATTAAATTATTTAATACATTATTATTTAAATAAATATATGTAAAATATGTAATTATCTGTAATATAAAAATGTATACTACATCGATGATAATATGGTCATTAATACATTTTTTGAATAAACAACTACAATATAATTACCTATACCTATATATTTTTAATTATTTATTATTATTAATATAAAAAAAAACTTTGATCAAAGTCAGTCCGATCAAAACTGATCATGCAAGACTGCCCACCATTTTGAAAAATATCATTTCGAGAAAACCACGTATAATGTTTTGACATATAAAAACTTATAAAAAAAATAAACTCCACGTTAATATACGATGCCTGCACCTTCACAGAAAATTAAAAGGCATTAAAATAAGCTGCAACGCTTATTATTTTAATCCAATTTTGCTTATTTTAATCCATTTTGGTATTAAAATAAGCAAAATTGGATTAAAATAATAAGCGTTGCAGCTTATTTTAATACCTTATAATTTTCTGTGTTATAATTGGCCTTGTACATTAATATTGGCTTTATTTTCATCCAATCGAGCGGATGTAAGTGTAAAAGAACATAATTGTTACCAGGGTAAAAGAGAAAATAGCTGATAGCGATAACTATCACATGAACCCACATAGCACGACTTCTTGCTGTGAGGTTACTGTAAGGATATCTGTAGGGTTTGTAAGGTTACCGTGTAAGCCTGCAATAAACTTGAGGTAATCTTAAAACTTCCGCCTTACAATAAGCTTAGACAGTAA